ACATAAAAGAAACCGACTTTGCTTTCTCTTTTCTACATCCATTGTTGGTTATACACTTACTTGTGCATGTTTGTGGTTTTATAGGTTTGTGCTGAGTTTCACCATATCAGAGAAAGTGGCACACACCAGCAAGATTTCACAGATGTTGCATGACATTCGAAATGTTTGATCTTCAGGTGAGTGCAAATTCACAAACACTAACTACCTCCATCACTGTCTTCATTGTATATAAAATAAAGTTGGCCTGCTTGTTTAAGATGTTTATTTTTTTTGTTTACATGATGTCAACACGAAACGAGCCCTTCATGCTCTCCCAGTGTACGTGTGTGAGGAGAACTGTTCTTCAGGACATGAAATGTAAGTATTAAGTGCATTAATAGAAATTTCAGAATTTCAGAAAATTTAGTAAAACAGCTGTTTATTAAACACCATAGTGCCATTTCTAACTATTGGCAGAGCAGGCAGCTGACCTCTGCATTATGAAGGGCCTCCAGTTGTAGCCTATATATGCTCTATTCATTCTTTTTTAGAAACCTCGCACTTTTCTACTCAATTTAAAACGTTGTAAAATTTTAAACAAATTAAGCGCGGTCCACTGCTGCACACGTGCCACAATATCGATACAGGGCCAGCTGTATCGATACTCGTATCGACAAATCCCTGTGACGATACATCGTCGTATCGATATTTTCAACACAGCACTAGTAATTTACATTGTACAACAAAACATAAAAGTATCGTCAAGTTATGTTTACCACGGGCTTTATTTTAATTGAAAAACCCCATAGGAAAATCTAGAAGGAACCCACGGCGAATTACTCTTCTGGGTTCCGACGTTATAGTTCCCCCACTCTATTGGCAGTAAATATAAATGTCTCCTTTTAGTCTCTGAAGTTAAAGTTAAAGTTTTACCCTCTGTGCTTATTCCAGGAGGAATTGGGCAAGCCAGACATCACTGACACAAACACCTCTCCTGCTGATTTTGTTATCATGGACAACGAAACCACTACAAGTCCTGCAAGCACTGCAGTTGTGATGAGATGATCTTCCAGTGTTTGACATTCAGAAATACACCGTTCATGCAGTTTAAAAAAGGCTGAATAAAAAATCCTCAATTGTATAGCCACAGTTGTGCGTGTGTTTTTTATTCATAAGTGTATTTTTTTAGTTAGTATTTGTATTTAATAAAGCACTACTGCATTAAAATAATTGGTAAATTAAAAACATTACGTATGATAAACAATAATTTTAAGTACACTGCACTTAAACATTAAGCAAAAACAAATTTAAGCTTTTTAGTTTGACTTAATTGTTATTTATAATTAATGTTAACTTAAAAAATTTGAGCTGCTTAATTACATTTTTTTTAGGTAATCGGTGTCCACAAAAATTTTGAGTATTCTGAACTTATCGGGTTTTACAGTGTGGAAGTATGTGAATTAAAATCTGTCATCTTTGCTCATGCATTCAGTTCTGGGCACTTTAGTTCTACATTTAATACTTCAAAAGATTTACACTGAAAATTTCATCATGTCTCAACAATGCAAAGACCTTGATTATAACTGTGCATGTACTTGACTCAACCAGTGGCATGAGTTTGGGGCATGTATTTATCTGAGCAATAGCAGATAAGCAAGGTTGTCTGAAATCAGTCATTATTTTTACAGTTCTGTTTGGTGCCATTAGTGGTGCAGAAATGACATACTTGAATTTTCCATGAGCCAGCAAAGCAAAGAGGAAGAGAGGCAGAAAGTTGTGTTTCTGGTTTAAATGTGGGGGGTGTAAGACAATGTTTACACTTCTCGAAGTTGCCTCTCGGCCTGCAACTTTAGGAGGCCCTTTTACTTGAATTAGGAGAAATCCTTTCAGAGATGGGTTGCAGGGATCAGGGGGTGGCTTTTCAGCATGACAAAACCAAACCCATTTCCCTCCTTTTTTTTTCTCCCTCCAACACTCTACAGGATGCCTTCGCAGCTTACACAATGCAAATCAGTCTGAGCCCCCTTTCAGAGATTGATTAATATGCATAGACGGCCCATCTATATCAAACAGCACAAAACGGAAAACAACTGGAGAACATTTGGGACGATTGGATTTCAGTCAGCTTGCGCAAAACAAAATTAATACATTTTTACAAGAAGGAGTCACAGTGTGAACAGTACAGCATGAAAGCATTCAAATGTTTTTATCTGATGAAACATCCAGCAATCCTACAGCATGGGGGCAAATCTCTCTACCAGATCACAATTCCTTTCAGCTCTGATCTGACGCTTATGTTTTCATTGGCATCAGTCTTAGTAAAAGCAATACCATTATAAAATTCACTCTTTAATGACCATACAGAAGGACTCTGTAGGAGGAGAGGTTCAGAGGTGGACCCTTTACCAGTAGAGATAAAATATCTGGTCAAATTTAATGAGACTTTTAAGAGAAGTGATAAATTCATTCTATTATAACACATAATTATTCAGCAGGCATACATTCTCTGAGAAATTAAAAAAAATACAAATGTAGAGAGCCTGTCATTCATTTATGTGCCATAAAGAAGAATCGTCCTTGAGTTAAAATCAGTTGATTTAATTATGGTTTGTCTGTGAACCAAAAAAATACAAATAAAATAAATAATTTGAAAAAACTGAGCACTGAACTTCATGACATTATCTTTAAAAACTAACAAAACCACTAATAATGGTAAAACAGAAAGCTGCACCTGAAATATGAACGAATGTCTACACATAAAAACACCAAATTATAGTAGGCCTATATATTTTTTCTTCTTTTTTTTCTTTTATCACATGGTTACTGTTACTCAGCCAAAAGATGGAGATCCAAGTAATTTTACTCTCTTCCAGTACTTTCATACTAGCTTTGAACTTGCCACAGACAGAGGAGTTCCAGATGTTCACCATCTTGCAATTGTTTCTTTATTTTCCTTCAAGTGTTAATTAATCTACTACTTTGCCCTCCTCTTGAGGTCAGGGACATGTACAGTATTTAAAGCCCCCTGTCCTGACTACTTTAAGTTGGATAAACTTCCAAAGATTTCATCTAACAATAACTGTACTGTATATAAAAGCAAACACACTAGACATGAACTCACAAACTCCATCACTCTTTAAATATGACACATGTACAAACTCACAGAACTGCACTTTTTAACATCCTGCCCTAATTACACGCAAATTAAGGACACATTCTATAACCTGCCAAACACACTAGGACAAACTCCCACACCTGCTAGGAGGAACCTCAAACCTGCTCAAACCAGCTGCGAGGTTTGTGAAGTCCTGCCACGACAAAAGGGCAACCAGTGGGACAGGACCACCGACTGGAAAATAACATCATCCCTCTGCATCACGCATACAAATCATAACCACTAACGGCTATCACTGTACAACACCACTCCATTTCACCATGCACTTATGTGTAAATATAATATACAATCTGAGACAAGTATATATCCATAATGTGCATACATTTATAAACACACACACATATGCTTACATATCTCTATTACACATTTGTCTAACCCACTGCAGATATGTTGATCTCATTAAAAACCCATTAACATCTGGGTAAATATTATAAGATTAATGACTACTTGCATTATTATTCATTTCTTTTTTTATCCTAGACCTCTTTAATGCTGTGTATATGTGCACAAGTATAATGTTAATGCTTTGGCAACATAAGCTTCTGTTTTGCCATGAGAAAGAGAGGTGGGGGAGGGG